TATTGCTTTCCTTTAATGAAGGATAGGTTGCTTAATTTTTTTTGTATTAAGGAGTGGTATGATATCTTTATATAATTCTGCACAAAAGTCATATGATAGTGACCTAAAAATGGAATTGCTGAATCTTTGGTTTTGCATATATTAACTCCTACTCAACATTGCCAAATGCCACTCTAGAATTTATACTCTCAACAGAATTATTTAAAATTTGTTTCTATGCCTTTTCCAAATATTGGAATTGGCAGGCCTTTGAATTTTGGACAATCTAATGGATGTAAAATAGTATCCCATTATGGTATTGATTTGGGTATTTTAAGTGTTATTAGATTCCCTTTACTAGAAAATCTTTCAATCTTTTGCCTAAATTTTTTTTGGATTGTATATGTTTTTTTCACGGAAGGATATATTTTTATTTTGTATATAAATCTTTTTCAGTTACATATGTGTCAATATCTCTCTCTCTCTCTCATAAATTGCCTTTTTTTGCATCTGTGATGTCTGTACTGCTGAAGTTTTAACTTTTATGTCAAATTTACTATATATTTTCTTTTTTGTATTTTATTTAAGAAATTATTCCTTCCTCTATATCATAAATCATTATTTAGTTTCTTATACTAGTTTCGAATTTTGCTTTGTATATTTAGGTCTTTCATTCATCAGGAATTTATTTTTATCTGTGCCATGAAATAGGTTTCTATTTTTTCCCTCCTTATGAATAGCCAGCAGTATCTGCTTCTGCTATTAAATAATATATCTCTTCTCATTGCAACCTGTAGCACTTATCAAGTTCCAAATGTACATGCGTTTGTACCTACGATTTCTGTTTTCAGTGTTGAGAATTAATTGAACCCAAGGGAATTCTTCCACTGACCTACACCTCCAGTCCTTTTAAAAACGTCTTTTATTTTGGGACAGAGTATCACTAAGTTGCTCAGGCTGGCCTCAAAGTTGCTATCCTCCTGCTTTCGCATCCCACTTAGCTAAGATTACAGACATGTGCCATGATGCCCGTCTAGGATTTTTGATTTACTTACATTTATGTATTTGTTGACATGTGACACTGTTCAAAATTGTTTTAGTTATTGGATCTTTAAAATAAAATATCATTTTTTCTAATTTTGTTAAAAACAGTCTGAACTTTTCATGGCTCTTAAGCTGTTCTTATGAATTTTAGGATCCATTAATCAAATTCTATTTTAAAAATCTATTACAATTTCATTTGAATTAGATTATGGAGAATTTACATACATTAGATTTATGGGGTATTTAAGTAATGTGTAGTTTCCATAGACCAAAATTATTATTATGGTTTTGTAAGTATAAAATTTTCAGATTCATTCTTTACATCAAATGAACTGATTACACACTTTCTGCTTTTTTTGTATTACCTCCTTCAAATTACAGTTCTATCTTCCTTTGGAATTCTTTTAGGGAGTATCATGAATGCTAATTAGGATTCTTCCTCTTTGTCTGAATATTTATTTTGCTGTCACTCTTTGTAGTTTGTACCTAGATCTCTTCAGCAGTGAAGAACTTATATCCTGAGTGCAGGGAGTAGAGCAAGCAGTCACTACTCAGCTGTCAGCCTCTTTGGGGATATTCTAGCCCTGGGTCTTACCCTTTTCCTTTGGTAGTCCTCATCCAATGACTATCACAGGTATGCAAAGACCTCATTCATTTCCCTAAATTAAGACAATTATGAAGGGACATCTCAAATGCAAACCTGAGTCCTTTGTTGGGGTGCTTTGAAGGTTAACTCTTATCTCTGTCTAATCTTTCCATCATCCTTTCCACATATGTTGTTCCCAAATGCATTCCCAAACACACTCCTGAGACCTATCTCTAAGAATATGCTTCCTGGGAAAGCCAACCTAAGCCACCCAGTGTGTGCCAGGACCAGTCTGAGAAAGCAGGAACTCAGATGGAATTTATGATTGGAATCATAGCACCTGACTGCCACTGAGGACCTGCTCACTGTGACAGGTGTTAAGACTGATAGACCTTGGAACAAGGCCGCAGGGCTGTAGTTAACACTTTGTCAGTAAAGAACCTGAAGGGTGTTCTAATGAAAGTAACATAGTAGTGAGTATAACGTATCAGGCATTTGAAAAATATGAGGGAAACAGTAACCTTAGGAACAGTGGCATTGACTATTCAGTAAAATTGATCCTTCGGAAATAGTGAAAAGCTGAGAGTGGTTAATTGGCTATTAAAATCTAAGAATAAACTGGAGAAAGCCTATTTGATAGCAAATAAAGAGGCCTTTATCCTGAAGTAGGAAAGCAGAAAAAAAAAATGAGGAGTGGGCCCAATGTGTAATCATAAGTGTGGCAGGGCTCCAAAGGAGATTAACCGTGAAATACAGCTAGGTGTGCTATGCCAAGCTCAGGGAGCTGGATAAGAGGGAAAAAGACTTCAGTGCAATTGGCTTGGTAGTAACACCTGAAAATCTTAAATTTCTAGTTTCTCCTGAACTCTCTGAGCCTGAACATAGTTTCCCATTTCTGATTAATGGCTAGAGTCTCCCCACCCCTCTGCTTGAAAACCATGCAGAAACCTCCACTTTATGATATGAACTGTGCCTCTTTCAGAGTCCGCCCAAGTTCTCCTCATGGTCATTAGGTCTACAGTTCAAGTAGTTAGAGTTAAGTTACAACATGGCCTGCCAAAAATATTGTCACGAGTGGCAAAAACTGTGCAGCAACAAGGGAGTTCTCTTAGAAGATTAAGGAGATGGATAATACGATATGGTGTTTCCAAGAACAAGACAGATTGGCACCAAATGATGATACTGCTCAATCAGTACAATCAAAAGAAACCAAAGAGGGCATTATCAGCAAATTAAGGGAATACCCCAAGAAGGAGTCATAATTCCGTGTCTAGTTTCTATGTCTGAGCCAGTTTGAATCTAGAATCTATCAAAAGAGAAAAGTCCGGGTTCCAAGAAGAAGGCACTGAAATATTATAAAAGGTATACAGAGTAATAGTTACCTCAGTTTTTCCCAAGAGGATTCTTTGCAATTTCTCTGGCTACCTATGTCTCGGTAAAGGTGGAGCATCAGATATTTTTCTATAGTGACAAACTGAAATCCATCTGCCTTAAGCATTATATTATAGAGTTGGAAAACTTAAAAATAGTTTCACTCTTCTATTTTGTCTGGGAAACTAGTTATTTTTCATGCAACTATTATTCATATTAACATGTAATATGCTTACAGGTACTATTTTTAATGAATTAGGAAATATTTTTAAATTTTATTAATTTAGATTTCTTAAATGGTAAATGGCAATCCATATAATCCACACAAAACAATAACTTTTTAGGGTCCTAAAAAGTTTTTACAAGTTTTTAAGGGTTCCTGAGACTAGAAAGTTAGAAAACTTCTGTGCTAGGTGATAACACAAGCCAAACTAGTTGTTTAATCTTGGGGCAAATTGTATAGTCTCTCTGCCTGAATTTATTTATGAGTAAAATTAGGAGTTAATGTTACACTTGTAAAGTGCTTAGAATGCCAGGAGTAAAAAAGTTGTTACATGCTAATTGTTATTCATATCAACCTATTTTCTCTGTGAAACAGGAGTGGTAATAACTTCTAAAATTGACAAAAGAAGAGGTGGAAGGCTGAGGAAAGGAAGACAATTTGATACAGCCATTGTGGCTAACTGGAAATGTTAGAGCTGATTATATAGAAGGATTAAAAGGCAGTTCTGAGAGGCTTGTTGAGTCTGGTGACCATGAATTTAGAGTAAATCATGATTGTGTGACACGCCCCTCCCCCCAACACTCAGAAATTCAGTGCAGAAAAGGAAAGCTGTTGAATCACCAGAACTGAGAATGTTACACTTGGTTGGATTAGAAAGAAAGCATGATAAACTGAACGAAGTGGTGAACTGTGTTTAATAAAGTGGGAGTAAGTAATAAAGAGGGAAGAATGGAAGAAAGCAGGTAGTTGATTAATAGAAAATAAGAGGGACCAAGAGATTTGATCAAGTCTCCATTAGGAGGAAAAATTGAGTAAGGGAGTTGGCAAGATGAGAGGTCATGTAGTCATGCCTTTGAATTCTGAAACAGTTCCATCTGCTGACAAGGCCCAAGGTGTAGTCAGGAAAGTGGACTGGTGTAGCGTAGTGGAGGTAAAGGCTACTGCAGATGAAGACATCACGATCCAAGAGGATGGGTCTTCCCTCTAACACATGAATGTGACCAAGAATGAGAGCAGAAGTTGACAGTCAGATTCCAAAGTCTTCCCTCAGTAAGGGGTGAGTATAAAACACCTGAAGAATCAAGGTGGCAAGCCAGGCAGAAAGCAGTCATTTCCGAGGTGGTAATGCGGAGCGATGGCTGTGAAGTTCAAAGTCTTTGCTGGGAGAGGACAGCCAGGTTTCGGTCAACCCATTAAGTCCCAGGTTTTCAGTTCTCTGTAGGACGGTGGGACATAATGGGTTAAGGACAGGGGGCAGAGCACACACCAGAAGCAGAGACTGGGAGAGAATTTGTTCTAAAGGAATGGAATCCAGAAGGCATAATGGAAATCAGAGACCAAGGAGGGTCAGTTAGGACTTCTTCAAGACTCTGAAGGCAAAGCTTGTGTAGCTACCTATAAAAGGGGCGTTGTGGGGCGTGGAAGATTTCTAAACTAGAAAGGTTTCCAAAAGAATTATGCAAGGATTTGCCGTTTGAGCAAAATCGTTTTTCTCTTCCTTTTAGACTTTTTCTGTGAGTTCTTGTCTACCTTTGTGTGTCCCTTCCCTCTAGATTTTCCTTTTTTTCTTAAAGAAACAAAATAAAGTTAAAGACGTCTTCTGTCCCCCTCCCTGCCTTCTGCTTCCCTAATGTCCCTCTTCTCCCTAGCCTCCCTTTGCCTCTTACAGGCCCCAGTTTGGGAATGAGTGGGCGGGACCAGGGCGGAGCGAACAGAAGTGGGCGGGCCCTTCTCCGTCGACGCGGCCCGTAAGGACGCTGTGACGTAAGAGGACATCCGGTCTTTCCCCTAGTGTCCGAAGCCGGCTGTCTCCGCCTTCCCGGGTCTCCGTGCCCTTTTCCCCTGAGTCCTGGCCTACGAGTTGGATTTGCTGCCGCCGCGAGCCAGCCTCACGCCGTTCCCTGTCCCTCGGCCGCGGAAGAGCGCCGGCCTCCCGGCGAGGGTGAGCGAAGCCGGCTGGGCGTGCGCGGTGGGGTGTCCCGCGCGGGTGGCGGTCGGCGGTTCCCGAGCCTCGTGGCGCCTCGGCCGTCTCTGGACGCCGCCTCCACCCACCGGGTGCTCTTGCTCCAGGCCTTGCTCGCCAATCCTCGGGGACCCCGCGCTGGTGGCCTCCCTGGGTGACCCGACGGAGTCCGGAAGTTAGTGCGTTAGTGGAGAGGGCGTGGACCTGTGTAAGGCTGGGACGAGGCGTTCGCTCCTCAGTGGCCCAAACAAGTTGGAGGGAAAAAAATGAGGCTCAGTTTTGTCATTGAGATCGAAAGCCCTCTCTGCCTGGGCACGCAGACGTTCGTCCTCAGGATCACCGCGTGATTACTCTCTGACCTCTGGGCAGGGCTCTGCGCCGTTTAGAGATCTATCTATATCTATGATAAGTGCCCTGGTGACTTGGACGTTAAGTAACCACCATTAACTCTGTTGGCCAGTCTGCCCATAGTGGAGCGTCTGTACCGTTTTGCTTACTGCTTGGTTTTGATTGGATGTTCCATTATGAAAACTAGTTCGGAAGTTTTCCTAAGTGAGGAAGGCCAGTTTTGAAGGCCTTACTTTGATAAATATGGTAAACATGTGTAGTGTTGAAACACAAATTTGAACCCTGTTAAAGTTATATGTTTACTGTTTGTAAAGAGAAGATAACTAGAACAACTGCCAAAGAAATTGTGGTACATATGTTTAATATCTTTTCAGACCGGCTTGAATTTATAGTGAATGGTGGCATTTGATTTGGTGTTTTATTTAGATATCATGAAGTAAGACATTGTACTTAATGTCTTGGCAGACTTAGGTCATCTGACTGTGTAGTTCAAAAAGTGATTTAAATTGGGTTCAAATGTGCTTTTAAATGATTTCTTGTTCTATATTTCATTGAATTTTTTTTTTTTTTTTTAATGAGGAACAGGTTACTTAACATCCGACCAACTTTTTTTTTTTTTGGTGGGCAATAAAACTACTTGGCTTTTAGCATAATTTCTTTTGATGTTTATATATTTTAGAATTGTTTGGTAGTACAATTAAGGACCTTATTTTAAAGACACTTTTTGGGGGAATGTGTGCTTAATATTTCATGGTCCCCCCAAAAGAGTTTAGTTTAAAATTTAACAACAATAAGAACACTTTATTTTACTGTTTTTGAGTTTATTAAAATAGTAAGTGTAACTAGGCAATTATATCTTTTCTGTTCTCTTGTGTAGAAAGAGGAGAAAATGCCAAAAAAAAAGACTGGAGCAAGGAAGAAGGCTGAAAACCGCCGAGAACGTGAAAAACAACTAAGAGCATCAAGAAGCACTGTAGATTTAGCTAAACACCCATGTAATGCTTCAATGGTAACACTTTTTTCCCCTAAACTATGTCATGTTTTATCTGAAATATACCTGAAGAAATTTTAATAGTGTTCCCCCATTTATTTTATTGATGAGTCTGAAACTTATTCTAGAGACATGTTTCCTTATTTTCACAAACACTGAGTAGCAGTGATTTTTTATTTTATTTTATATTACATAGAAAACCTAGACTATTAACTCGGATATCGTTGGTGATAGATACTGAACAAAAATAGATAACAGGAGCTGTGTACAATTTTCCAGTTGCTCTAGCCTTATGTTCCATAACTCTGTTTGTTGTAGTTGGATTTTCGTCTTTTTCACTTAGCAAATTTTAATTCATTTGACTTATTTTTTCTCTCAACAACGTTCCAACATCTCTTGTGTTCCTGTTCTGCTGCCTTATTAGTTGTGCTGCATGGATTAGTCTTAATAAATTCAGGCTGGTTTGAATGGTGAAAGTTGTAAAAAAGCAAAGGATTATATCATCATTACCTTTTTCCTTTATTTGATCATGTTTCTTTGAGATATCTCATTTCTTCTCATTTCCATGCTTCTCTACTTTTTCTATTCCTACTGTTATTCATTTTTCCCTTTTTTTGTTTTATCAAAGATGCATGAAATGACTTAATGACTTAATTTAGCAAATATTTTGTGCCATACTATTTTATATACTGTGGGGATACATAGATGAGTGACATGTTTCCTGTTTCCACAAGCTTATAGTTCCGTTGTGTTGCATACTACTCAGGACAGGACTTGCTTATTTATAAATAACAAATATAACTTAAATACCTTGGAAAAATAGTTTATTGAATGGATGATGGAATAATTCATGTAGCTATGAAGGGGAAGGATATAGCTGGGGCTCATGGACAGATGAAACCCAGGACAACTTGTAGTTGCTTTTTGCATTTGTTTCTTTTTGCTTATTAGTTCCATTTTCTCATACTTAGTTTATTTATTTAACTTCGCAGTTACAGATAGGTTGCATATATCATATATTTTGTTGAGCTCAGATGGAAAGAACTCTTTCCTTATTGTAGTAAATAGATACTACAGGAAATTGTATGTAGGTTGGTGCTGAGCCAGTACCCATCCCAGGACTAACATATATGGTGAGGGGGATAGGAGTTAGGAGCAAAATTAAATAGCACAGGTATGACAGTGGGATTCCCTTCTGAGTATCAAAGTCCTTTCCAGAGCAAAACAATAATAGCATATGTAAATACATGCAATGAGTGCTGTATCTGGATAATGTTTCAGTAAAGGTACAGTGTAATTCTTAGGACTTAGATGTGATAAAATTGTGTGTGGGTGGGGTGCATTTCACAGAGAAGGTGGAATTATAACCCAAACTTCCAAAAAGTAGAGATTTAATGAGTAGTGTTGAATAAGTAAAGCCCCGGAGAGGGGAGAGTGCAAGACATATTTGGGGAAAGGCTAATAAGGTAACTTGAGTATTAAAAGAACAAGCCTGAAAAGTGGTTAAGGATCAGACTGTGGTGAGCATTTAAAGCCATGTTAAAATATAGATATTCTGTGGTCTTTATTATTTTTGCATTCTTCGTTTCTTGCGTCCATTCTGTAGTATTTAACTTCTTAAACAATCAAAAAGAGACCAGCATAGTATTTAGCCTCTTTAATGATAATGCCACTTCCTCTTCTAGTGTGTTATGCCCAGAATATACCTTTGTTTTGTGTCTTTGTTATCTAATTAGGTATAGACGCTTGTGTGCCTGGGTGGAGTTGGAGGATTTGGGGTTGTGCTACTTAAATTTTAACACAGAAAACTAGAGATTCTTTATAATGTAAGTAAATTTGCACTTTTCAGCAACAGAAAAATTAATGTTATGTTTTTACATCTTATAGGAATGTGACAAGTGTCAGAGGTAAACTTTCTTTTTTTTCCCCCTATCTACATACATTAAAAGAGTCCCTCTGATGTTTTATCTGAAATATTTACCATATTTAAAATTTTTTATTTTACATGACAAGGCGGCAGAAGAATAGAGCATTTTGCTATTTTTGTAATTCTGTACAGAAGTTGCCAATATGTGCACAGTGTGGTAAGTATATAACTACGGATGCCTACCTTTTATCAAAATGTGTGTGGCAGTTAATCAGCTTGAAAACCTATATGTTCATTATTATTGCTTACATTAAGGTAAATGCCTTACCATTACAACAAAGTGTTTCTTAAAAAGTGTTATTTGGTCTACCAAAATACTTCAAGTGTTAGTTTTGCCTCTTTGATATACTGTCGGAAAATAGTGAAGGTAAAAATCTAGAAATAGGGCTGGGAATATAGCTCCCATGAACAGGGCCCTGGGTTCAATCCCCAGCACCACAGGGGGGAAAAAATCTAGAAATAGTTTATCAGCAAGTTGTTTTAAAAATTAAAAGATCAGATTCTAGCTTAATATAATGTCTGATGATCTTAAATTTTTAATTATACAAACCTTAGTCATGTCAATATTCATATTTTCTCTGTTTTGAATTTTGATTCCTGCTGATAGTCTCTATGGTTTCTTAAAACTTATTGGGGATAATTTTATTCCACATGTACCCGTTTCTTACTTTGATCAGTTCTTTTCCTGTTTGATATTTACATGTTATTTTTGAGTTTCCTCAAATGTATTCCCAAATGCTTGAAATAAGAGTTTTTAAGTCACATACTGTTTCCAATTATTGGTGGAAACTTTTACCCTGAAATAATTATTCAGAATAAAATTGATTATTTATGTTAAAAGTACTGAAGATGCACAATAAAGAAGCCCGATCAATTTTATTAACTTCAGATTTACTCCTCCAACTTTATTTGAACAATATCCTTTTATTCATGAGATGCTGGGACAATTTGAGATGTGCTCCTATATGTGTGTAAGTTCGATAATTTGCAGAAAGTTGGTAGTACTTCAGCTACATCTCTGAAAATTTTAGTGTAGTTCTAGCTATCAAAGAAGACATCCCTTCAGTTCTGCATTTAATGAAAAAGAAAACTGACCTGGTTGGAATACTCTTTTGCTTGGTTTTATGTCATTACTTTATAAAGGTATTTCTATTTATTTATTTTAGTTGTTGAGAGACCTTTATTTATTTATACATGCTTCACACATGCCAGGCAAGTGTGCTACCGCTGAGCCACAGCCTCAGCCCTTTTGTCATTACTTTATAAAAGACAGTAGAAGGAAAAAATATTTTGTGGAAGGTTAAAAGGTAAAGTCTCCCCATATTTTTAGTGTCTCTAGGCTTGGATTGGGTAAGAGCTGTACTTGGGTGCATTTTCTACTTACTGATTCTTCTTAGTGTTAGACATCTAAAAGTTGGGTAGCTGCTGCCTGCCTCATTTCCAGTTTCTCTTTCTTCCCATTTCCTGTTGTCTAACTTTGTTTCCCAGGAAATCATGATGATAGAAAATTGAGCATTTTCTATTTCTCTTGTTTTCCACTTTGTTGAATCTTGTTGGGTGATCAGTATATTATCATTAATGTTTGCATTGTATCTGATAAGCAGATTTCCTGATAATGTTTGGATTGGTAATTTGCTATTAGATCAGAACCTTTGTGGGTGTTGTGATTTTTTAGTTGTAACACTATATTCTTGGTTTGTGTGCTCATTTGGGTATGATTTAAGCTTCAAACTAGACTTTTTTTTTTTAAATTTTTTAGTTTTCGGAGGACACAACATCTTTGTTTGTATGTGGTGCTGAGGATCGAACCCGGGCTGCACGCATGCTAGGCGAGCGTGCTACTGCTTGAGCCACATCCCCAGCCCTCAAACTAGACTTTTTAATGTGTGTTATAAAATGTAAAATTCATTTTAAGGTGTGACTTTTTAAAATGTTTTGATTTATCTGAGAAATCATAAGATTTTAAAATGTTAAAATGATCATTAAATTACCAAGTGTAACCTGCAATTTTAGTTTTTATTTTCATAGGACTTGGTCTGAGTCAAAAGAATTAGTGAATTCTTGCATGTATTACTATGTAGCCCTAATAGTGCAAGTTTTTTTCTGTACTAGGAAAAACAAAGTGCATGATGAAGTCTTCGGACTGTGTCATAAAGCATGCTGGCGTATACAGTACTGGCCTTGCTATGGTGGTAAGCTGCTTGTTTCATCTGACATTGGGTGGTTTCTGAGAATAAGAAAAAGTCATTCTGACCAAGAGTTATTTTTTTTCTAAATAGCAGTGCTTTGTCTCTTGTTTTGGTCAGTTATATCTCAGTTGTACCTTTCTAATGGGTTTTACTCAGGCTTCACAAATATTATTTACTGTTCTGAAAGGCTTTCTTAGCCAGTGTTCAAGCCTTTGTTTAAATAATTGACCAAGTTCTAAACTAATTTTAGGATAAGTGTTTTGTTTTTAACATTACATTTCAAAAAATGTGTATGTTTATTATGTAATATCTTCTTTGCATATACCATTTTTTAAGGAAATTTATTGTTTTAATTAACAATGGATTGTGTGGTATATTTTGTTCTCTTTTAATAAAACATCTTTTCCTTTTAAATATAAGTTAGTGTATTCCGGTTTTTTCTTTTATGCTTTAAGTTTAATTTCTAGTCTGATGAAAGTGATATTGTTTTTGTGTCAAGAGAAGTATTTTATGGTAATTTATAGTTTTTTATGGTAATTCTCCAAAAATAAATAGTTTTCTACTATGAAGCATACTTTTTTCTTGTCACTTGGTAGTCTGGTCTGTGAGCTTTCTTTCCAGATTCTGGTAACCACTCCTTCCCCTCATTTGTCCATTTAGGTGTTAGAGGTGGTCACTGTATCATCTCTTGATATCCGCCCCACCCCCCCAAGCCCTTCCCTGTTACTTATAAATAATCTCTTGAAAATCTTAATTTATCTAATTTCAGAGTGCCTTCTCTTTCTTGTTACAACCCTGACGATTTAAGACATATCTTTAAGGGTTGCAAAACTCTATTGATAAGCCATTTTTTTTACAAGTCAACAAGTATTCTTCAGGTTTACTGTTTACTATTTGCTTTTTTTTTTTTTTTTTTTTGTTACAGAACCTTGAATAGCAGAGTATTACATTGAGATTTAGGACTGACTTTAAATCTTAGGTCATGTGTAATCCAGGTCTGGGATTTGGATTTAGTCTTGGGCCTCACATTTCTCATTAATAAAGAAAAGATCATCTGACCTTACTCTGTTAAGATTCTAAGATAAGATTCTTTCTCGCTTTTACTATTCTGTAGGTGTCAGTGTATCATTGAAAAATTCATTATTTTTTAAAATATTTTTTAAAGATGTTGATGAACCTTATTTTATTTATATGTGGTACTGAGAATCAAACCCAGTGCCTCACACATGCTAGGCAAGTGTTCTACCATTGAGCCACAACCCCAGCCCAAAAAATACATTCTTATTCTGTTATCTTGCTATATAATTGGAGAGTCTTACCCTCTAGTTTAGTGTGATGTATTTTACTTCAATTTTTTTTCCACAAAGAAATGTTACAATGATTTAATTTGTAAGTTATCTTTAAAAAGAAGAAAATGGCTGAAGTTTAATATTTTCCCAGGTATTTTAGAAAAGCTATAGGATTGTATTTATGACTTATACAGATAAAAAGGGTTTTTCTTAAATCAAAACCCCAATGGTATTTGAAAATTCAATTTAGTTATAGGAATTGAAATAGACAAGAAAGCTTAAAATGTGGACTCCAAACTTCATTTGAATTAGAATTAATTTTACTTAATTTAATAATATTAGAGTAGGTGTATAGTTTTCTCCATTGCTTCTTTTTCTTTTGACTTATAACTGAGTTTTGTATATTGCAGGTAGTTGTTGGTGAAGTGATTTTTCAGAGAACTCTTTAATTTTTGCTTGGGGTGAACAGTAAAAATCTTTACTGAAGCTTCCAACTATCTTTGAGTGTTAGTGAAATGCTAAATGAACAGTTGGATGGTTACCATTGGTTAAACAATGATTGCAGCTGGTTAAGGACAGTGATTATATTTTCTTGTTCCTTGGTTGCAGGGTGCAATATGTGACTTCTGTGAAGCTTGGGTTTGCCATGGTAGGAAGTGTCTCAGTACACATGCCTGTGCCTGCCCTCTGACTGATGCTGAGTGTGTTGAATGTGAACGAGGTGTATGGGACCATGGTGAGTGCTTAGATACAGGCATTGAGCTTGGTTATAAGTAAAGGTTGACTTTTAGACATTCTGAATGCTATTTTCAAGATTTTTTTCAGGGTACTGAAAAATTCTAATTACGAGTACTGTTTTGATGATCATTTTAATTGGAAAAGTGATTTATATCAACAGTAATAGTATTGTTTATGTAAGCAATCAGGGAGGGAAGTCTTGGGGAGTAGGTGGTGTCCTTGAGCATTGCATTATGCAAGCTCACTTTTATGGTTCAAGTTCAAGTAGTTGGTTTTTGTTAAAAATTGCTGTGCAATTTGAGTGTACCTCTGAAATCACTTGCCATCTCTTTGCAGTTTTGTATATAAAATTTTAAAAATTATAGTTTATTATATTCATATCTGTGGTTTTCTTTTTTTAATCCAATAGGAGGCAGGATATTTAGTTGTTCTTTTTGCCATAACTTTTTGTGCGAAGATGATCAATTTGAGCATCAAGCCAGCTGCCAGGTTTTAGAGGCAGAAACATTTAAATGTAAGTTTTATTTTATTTTTATTTTTTAATGTTAGATGTTCTTTATACCTGAGAGTCTGAAGAGTATAAATGTTAAACTTAATGGAAAGGCAATCAGATTTTTTTGTTTTGCTTATTATGACCTTCAATTAATGTATCTTTTTTTTTCTTCCTAGTAAAATATTAAAACACATGGTTCTGAAATTTTCAGCAGGGATGCCAGTGGCATATTGATTGAGTCAGTTCTTCATTTTTGTGGACTTGACCAGGCATTGTAGGATTTATAGTAAATGAATACCCAATGTCATGTTTACCTTTAAGTAAAATCACAGTCCACCTTCCTCTGCCATTCCTAGATGTCCTCAAGTGTTATCACCCCTACTTTCTTCTTGCTGTTGGTTTCAGTGGCCGTTAGGGATCAGAATGTGGAGGAAGTACCTGCAAGGGTTTTAAGAAATACAGGTGCCCAGGCGTTATCCCTGAAGATTCTCTTTTGAAGTCTGTAGTGGGTGCCAGGGCATCCATATTTAACCTGTACATATATTTCTCATCCATTTTCCAGTTAAGAACCAGTATTAACAATTGGGTTAGTAATACTGTCATCTTTTACAGATAATATCTTAAAAGGTCAGTTGAAATGAAAATCTACATAAAGCATTAGTCTCTACTGCCTAGCACTTAACCCTCATTAAATCATAGTTACCATCAATAAGAAAAAGGCTAAAATTTCCCATAGTCACTTCTTTTAATTTGGGGCTAATTCCTATTAACCCATAAATTGTGGTTGATAAGTCATTGTTCTGATGATATATGTACAACACACACTATATAGATGTATGTGTGTGTGTGTGTGTGTGTGTGTATATATATATGAAATTCTCAATATTATGTAGAAACTCAAAGATTAAAAGCATCTCAAAGTGTATAGCATATTTGAACCCATCTTTGTCTTTTGTAGAATGTATAATATAAAAATTGAATTATTTTATTTGGGGCTTGGGAGCTTTTTGTATATTTATAGCATTTGAATCCAAAAGACAGGAAACTGTGATAAGGTGAGAGCAGTAGTAGTTCAGTAAAGGACAAAAGAAGAAAACTGAATAATTGACAGGATTTTAAGTGAATTTCTCTCTCACAGGTGTCTCATGCAATCGTCTTGGTCAGCATTCATGTCTTCGTTGTAAGGTATATTTAAGTATTTTTCTGTTTAGATTTTTTTATTATTATTATTTTTGGTATAGAGGATTGACCCAGGTTGCTTAACTACCTAGCCCTTTTTATTTCTTATTTTGAAACAGGGTCTTGCTAAGTTGTTTAGGTCCTCACTCAATTGCTGAAATTGGCCTTGACCTACCTCATCCTCTTGAATCTCTGAGATAACAGATGTGCACCACCACGCTCAGTATAGGTTTTCTTTTAATTTCTATATACCACTACCAGTCCTTGGATTCTTTCTAGCTATAAATGATCTCTATGTGAAATAAGAATTAATTTAATTCTTTTATTTTTGAGATTGTGAAGTTGAAATTGAGAGGACCTAAAGAATTTCCACTAGTCCTCTGGTTGGCTTGTACTGTTTTTCCCCCTGGTACACAAGTCTCCGGGTTCCTGGCTTAGTGTTTTTTATGTCATATGTTTATGGAAGAACATTGTAACCCCAAGATAGGGAGTGTATTTTAATTACTGTCAAAATGCCCCTGCTTAAAAAACTTTAGGTGAAGTAAGGATTATCATGGCATTCTATTTCCTTATACTGGCTCCAGCATTTCTTTTGGTCAAATATCACTAAGCAGATGCGGCCAATTCACTTTCTCTAAGAAATGTTTTTCTGGGAGGCCGGGCATGGTGGCACATGTAATACCAGCCACTCAGGGGGCCAAGGCAGGATGATTCCAAGTTCTAGGCCAGTTTCAGCAATTTAGCAAGGCTCTCAGCAACTTAGACTCTGTCTTAAAAAAAAAAAAGACAAACAAGATGAAGGACTTGGAATGTAGCTCAGTGGCTCAGTGGTAACATGCCCTGGGTTCAATCACCAATAACAACAACAACAAAAAGAAAGGTTTTTCTGCTTCTTCCTAATCCTATTTGTTCTTTCTCTCCCAACTATGCTGCAGTTTTGCTAGGGCTTTCAGTTTATTGAAAGTGTTCATGCTGTCAAGCTCTTAGGCATTGTCTGTACAGTTTCCTTTGTCTGGAACACTTTCCATGTTTGCTTCCCCTCTTATACCCCCATTCACCTAGGCATCCATTCAGCTAAGACATCGTGCCCCCTGGGAAGCCTTTCTGGATCCTGTGTATGGTTTAGTGCCCCTCCTGTGCACTTCCCTTTCAATGCTTAGTGTTGTGTATGACTCTCCGCCATCTCCAGATAGACTGCTCTGTGAGGGTGGATAGATTGTTCACCATTGTGTCATCAGGGACAGTGGGAATATTGAAATGCTTACAAATACTCTCTGTAGTTAGTCTCTGCCTTGTGTTGGGTCATTATTCACAAGTCCTGGCCAAAACAAAACAAAAAAAAAAAACCATCCCATTTTCTTAAGAAAGTGTAATCAGGACTGTGACTAGATCCAAAAAAATTCTTAAATCTTTATATTTTAACAAAATTCTATCTCTAAATTCTCCTAAAGAGAGAACTGAGGACTAAATTAGAGCAAATTACATTCCATGCTTTTATATAATTGTGTCACAAGGAATCCTAATGTTATATATGACTAAAAAGAACTAAAAAAAAAAAAATTTTAAAGGCAAAAAGAAAATTTCCTTGAAATATTGAGTGATATAAATATTTATTTACTCATTTTTACTTTCCCTATATAGGCTTGTTTCTGTGATGAACATACAAGGAGTAAGGTGTTTAAGCAGGAAAAAGGAAAACAGCCTCCTTGCCCTAAATGTGGACATGAAACTCAGGAAACAAAGGATCTTAGCATGTCAAGTAAGACTCTCAAGATACTTAGGAAATGTTTTGCTTCCTTGCTTAGACAACATTTATGTTATTTCTCATATTTTTAAAAATTGCTGTTTCTCCCTTGTCTTTTCTTGAGCAAGTAAGTTTTTCTTGTTTGCTTTTGTTTGTTTTCTACAGGGGGCAATCCTGGGGATGGAACTCAGGGCCTCACACATGCTTGGCAGTTGCTCTACCACTAAGCTCACTTGGAGCCTTGCAAATGGGATTTTATAGCTTTGTAAAATAGATGGGTACTATTTTCCAATTTAACATCAAAAAATACTGACATTCACTTGGGTATTTGTCCCCATTGTCAACAGGAAATACTAGAATTTAAGACCAAAAAGAACAACTTTTCTGTTTTTCTAAGGCTTTCTTATTAAATAATTGAAGTTATAAATTCTTAAATCTTCATTACTTGAAAGTCATGTTCATTCTGAAGTTATTCTTAGGTGTGTAGTATTTGGGTACAGTGCTTACTTGTGATAAACCATATAATAATTGTTATGGTTTTTTAGAAAATTTTTTATGAAATAAGGCTACTACAAATAAAAAAGTAGTCTACTGTTTACAGTTCTAATCTAACATGCTGACAGTAAAGCAGCTCACCTTTTGTTAAAAACAGGTTTGACTTTACTAAGCATGTCAGAGTGGAACCATAATTTTAAGCACTTAATCAAAGATGTAGTTGTGCATAGGTGAGAATGATGATTTTGCTGATTGTGATATAAAATGTATGCTACTAAGCGTTAATGAAAAGTTTTCTAGGGTATCTGCATTATAAAATAGCTCTTAAGAAAAATTTTAATGACATTTTTGTGAGTTACATGATTCAGAAATAACCTTGATTGACTAAATGAAGGGTACTTTAAGTTTTAACTTGCCTTATCTGGAGAATTTTGGTGGTCTAATTTTGTTTTCTTTTTCTAGATTTAATGAAATGATAGCTGTAATCTTTATTTATTGTGTTTGTAGACTCGTTGTGTATTGTATGAAATTAGGAAAATAGGGATTGCTTTTTTATTTGACTGTAATAAGGAGTAAAGTTCCATTATTTTATACATTATTGAAAAAAACAAAGATGTAGAGGATTTCAGAACTAAGATGCATATTTGTCCTTTGTAGCACGCTCTCTGAAATTTGGCCGTCAGACTGGAGTTGAAGAGGGAGATGGAGCTTCTGGTTATGATGCTTATTGGAAGAACCTTTCATCCGACAAGTACGGTGATGCAGGCTACCGTGATGAGGATGATGATGAGTATGATGCAGAGGATGACGAAGAGGAAGAAGATGAAGGTGGAAAGGATTCAGATGCTGAATCATCTGATTTATTTACTAATTTGAATTTAGGAAGGACCTATGCCAGTGGCTATGCTCACTATGAAGAACAAGAGAACTAGGGGAGCTGCTTGCCTGTTGGTGGTTGTGTATGACAAGAGCCAGGAGCACATGTCATGAGGAATCATGTGGGTGTTCAGAAGTACTAGCACTTGACCTTGTTCTATTACCAGTCCCACGAGACTAAGGAGTAGGGCACAGCATTTTTATAGGAACTGATAATCAGGCTTTTAATATGAGAGAAATGAGTTTCAAATGTAAGACATTTATTGATCCAGGCAAATGAAGTATCATGGATTAGATTGCTACTGATTTTAGTAATTTCTTAGTTTTTGCCAATCACATACATATAAAGGTAAAGGAATAAAATGGTAATATATTTATTTGAAATTAAATTACTGTTTTTATTAAAGGAGCACTGCTTAGAAATTCACTGTCTCGTTTTGTAAAATGGATTACTGTATTTTTTCCTTTATGTCTGTCCTCAGAATGAAAGTCATGTGTTATTATATTCTAAATTTTCATTAAATACTCATGTTGTTAGTAGTCATGCATGTTTCAGCATTCGGCCCATTTATCTCTCTTCACAATATATATCATGAACAATCCCTGTTTTAATACCTAAATGTATTGACAAAGGTGACTGACTACCTAACCATTTTTTAGAATTATGATACCAGAAGTAGTATTACAGATGCCTTACCCAGGAAATTTCATTTTTTGGAATAAATGGATGTAGTATTTCACTTTAGAACTTTGATATTTTATTTCTTCTCATTTTTTTTTTTCAATTTATTTTGGAAAATATTCCAGTGTTTTTCTATAAACTGCTTCAGTTTTTGCCTAATGAAAATATGTAGCAGAGACTAATTATGTGGCCGATATCACTGAAGGTAGGTGGAGAACTGACAATCCCTGGCACAAGTTCAGTTTTACAATGAATTTGGAGATGTGGTAGAAAGGAAAGTAGTGTCTGGCTGGCTGGTATTATGGATGTATGGAGCAAATTCAGATGGCTGTTGCTCTGCCATTTTTGTTGTAGAGAAACATAATGAACGGGGGGGGGGGGGGGGGCAATGGAAAGCCAGGTGGGAAAGCCACAGGGCCTGTGTTGGCTGGAAGAAAAGCTTTCCATGTCTCGCAACAGAAGGGCCAAGGAAACAGGACCAAGCCAAACACTGACAGTCTGGATAGTTCTAAGGTAGTTCCCATCCAAGACATCTATTACACCAGAGCACTGCTTAGGAAAACCTGAGACCCAACAAGGAAGATGGAGGTGTTTGGATGTTGCTGAAGATTTTTACTCCCTGGACCTTTGAGTCTAGTCAATGCCCACACCTTTCAGTTAAGGACAAGCATTTCCTATTTCTAAGATGGATGACAATGCAGAGGCTTATTTACTCAGGCAATTTGTGCTCCTGCAATCCTTCCCTTATCTTCAGGCCATTATTAAACTTCAGACCTAAAAATAGGGTTAAGTCACAATAAGATCATGCAAAACTCAGGTGTTGGACCTGAGGAAAGGAGTCTGCTGGCTAATTGTAGAATATACTTGGAAGGACTGAAGGAATATGAAGCAGCTCAAGATCAGAATAGAAAATCAGGGGAGAGTATGATGGCAGCTCCCTTGGACTGTAGGAAAGGAGCTGTCGTAAAAAGTTACAGTTTAACACCACAGGTAGGATCCTGGGAGATGTTGTGAATTGATTACCAGAATGGCTTCTAGAAGTGCAGAGAAAGCAATGGCTCATTCTGATCCAGGGTTGTTGTAACAAATGGTGGAGGAAAGGATTTAAAGGGGGGAGGCAGGTGGGTAAGCAGGAATGGACAGGTTGTCCAGCTGGAAGAATGACTATGTTGCATGAGAAGGCTCAATCGACATGCCATTTAACAAGGCCACAGAGCCCTGCACTGGTAAGATTAATGTCACTAAAACATTTAGGGTAGATTTCTATAAACCAGTTCTGCTAGGTGGGAAGAACCATTACAATGCTTAGTTTGCTGATGGTGATGTATGATCAGAAAAATAGTGACCAAGTAGCAAAATGCCTAATTCCCCTAAGTCAAGGGCCTAATCACCATAACTCAGTGGGAATGGTAGCCAAAAGGGACCTACCTGCAGAGTCCCTCACTGTTTTATCAAATGACTTACAGCCATTTACTCTGGTAATTTTACACTTGGGAAGGGGAATATAAGCCATTTCAAGGACTGTTGGACATGGAGTCTGAGCCAACATTGATAACCAGAAACTCGACATACCTTTTATTAGTAATTAAAGAAGTCCTGGCCAAATTTTAGCTTCCAGTGGTCTCTGAGAATGTGGAAGCCTCTGAAAAATGCTACCTGTATTAGTTTTCTGTCACTATTGGGCAAAATATCTGAGATATTCATGAGAGAAAAGGTTTATTTTGGCTTACCACTCTGGAGGTTCCAGTCCATGATCAGTTGGCCCTGTTGCTTTGGGCCTATGGCCAGGGAGCCACATGCTGGGTGTGTGTGGAGAACAAAACTGCTCACTCAGTGGCCATGAAGCAAAAGAGCAAGGGCTTGGAATCTCACTATCCCCTTCAAGGTCACTCTCTTTTTGACTTAATGACATCCCACAAGGCCCTACTCTTAAAGGTTCCACCTCTCCCAATAGTGCTTCCATGGGGGACAAGCCTTTATCACATGAGCTTTGGGATACTCGTTAAAATTCCAACTGTAGAACTACCCTCATGTCTCATCACTCCAGCCAGAAGAATTAAACAGCAATATTGCCTAGCAGGATGGCAGAACAGAAGGAAAATCACAATGCAGGCCCCTGGGTTTCTAAAGAAAGTTGAACCATCTGCATTTAGAGACATTTGTACCCCCTGAGCCCGGTCGGCAAGGTCTCCAACTTGCCTAGGCTGATGTAGTTAGCATCATAGCTGAATGTCAACTCTGTCAGCAACAGAAGAGAATGCTGAGCTTTCAATGGGGAATTGTTTTTTGAGGGGATGGATCAGACCAGTCATCCTAGAAGGACCAGTGGCTCATTATTTAATGGAACAGACCCACATTCTGGGAATGGACTTGCCTTCTTTCTTATGCAGTGTCTTGTGGAAGCTCAGGCCAAGGAAGCAAGGTTCAGAGGCCTGGCAGTTGCAAAAAATGCAAGGCATGATTTGAGATAATAGACATTTGTTATTTGGAGGTGGCAGTAGCCCTTAGCCAGTCCACAGCTCTAGCTTCAGCTCCATTTAGCCCCCTGAGTCCTTCCATAGGTGTACAGGCAGACAAAGAAAGCACACTGCCAACACATTACATAAGTAGGCACATGCTCACAAGCAAATGTTTATAACTTCTGAAGTGGACTTATTGACCTTGGCTACACACTGAAAAGCCTTGGCAAGGAAACCTAACAATAGCCATTTTAAGCCTGCCCAACCTGGGGCCTCAATCAGCATCAGCACCTAAAGGCTTGTGGAGTATTTAATTCACTGACATGGGATCCTACACAATGTGCATTGGGTCAGAGATCATCCTTGAAGTGAAGCAGGTACAATAGACCTGTGACCATGGGAACCACTGGTCATATCATGTACTACATCCCTGGGAACTTCCTGCCTTAAGGTTTTTTGCCATGGTGTGCTGAGAATACAACTGGAGCAGGAGCTAAGAGGCAATACCTACCAAGATTTCACACCAGGCCCCCATATGCTTGGGACCAAAGATATTTTTATTCCACTGTGTTCCTGAGAGGCAAAGTACACATGTGATAGGTTGAATAATGTCATCCCTAAATTCATGTTCACCTGGAACTTCAGTGTGATCTTATTTGCAAGTAGGGTCTTTGAAGATTTAATAGTTAAAAGAGGTTCATACTGGGTTAGAATGTCTTAGGTCTAAATACTGGTATCCTTATAAGAAGGGGAGAGCACACACAGGGAATAAGGCTGTTAGGGGATGATGTAAGAGTAGAGTAAGCTACAAGCCAAGAATGCCAAGAATTGACTGCAACCATCAGAAGCTGGGAGAGAAACATGGAAAGATGGTCCCTCAGAGCATACAGAAGAAACGAACTCCGCCAACACCTTAATTTTGAACTCCTAGTCTCCTGAACTGTGAGAAAGTAAATTTTTGTTTATTTTAAGTTACCTAGTTTGTGGTAAGTAGTTATAGCTACCCTAAGAAACGAATATGCATATAAACTAAGGGTGGAGGTAGGGGCCTGCCATCACTCCCCTTGTTTCTCTGGAGCACGTGTTTCTTTCATCCCTATGGCTTTGGGCTCTAGATACCCAGAATTCTATGTCTTCAAGTCTATGTCCTCAATGGAGTCACTTTCTTCAGGGGACACTATAAGTACTTTGTTGAATTGTAAGCTGTGTCTGCCATCTCGGATTTTTTTTTTCTATGTCCAGGAACCAAAAGGCAAGTAAAAAATATCCATGGAGTGAGACTCTTCACCAGAAGGAGATGGGGCTACTTTTATAAGATGGAGACTAGGAGGAATCTGAATGGATTCCAAGCAATTTACTTGGGCTTTCTAGATGCTCCTTTCCCCACTTGGGACTGTAAATGGATGGGGCATGGTTAACATCTTTAGCCTGTGAAAAGCATAGTGTTAAGACACCTTGGGGATGAGGTCAGGGTCATGCCACCAGGTAACCCACTGAGACTAGCAGAGGTGAGAGCAGGGAGGCAGATTCTGGGTCTGCCTCAGCTACAGAGAACCCCCTTAGCTGAACATGCATCTGGTAATGGGGTGACTGTTTTGGCTATTTTGGCTCAACTACGATAAATAGCTATTTAGTTAATGTCACTACATGGGATTTAATTGCTGACACTTAACAACATGGGGTAAATATATTTTCCTCCTCTTCATTTCAATCATGGTTTGGCAGACTCTTTGCTGGAATACTGTATGGATGTGTGGGAGGGTGACTTTTGTAAGTCACCTACAAGCTTCTGCTCATGCAGAATGTATTAGTCCATTTCGGAAAGCGAATAGGCCATATCGCATGCACACCTGCACTTCACAGAATGACCCTGGTTACTTATTTGCCTAATGGGAACAATTCAAAGGAAGAAACTTAATATATTAAGCCCTAATCATATTTTGTAGAATCAGACAGAGTGCAATGATAAATCAGACATTCAAGCATTCTTAATAAAGAATCGAAGTTAAAACACAATGTACGTAGAGGCAAAGGCATTATTGACACAGAACTTCTGTGCAAAGGCAAAATAATATGCTAAACACAATTTACTAACTCGTATAATTCAATTCATCCACCAAATTGCATTTTTACCTTAAATCAAGGTAAAAATTCAGCTAGCATTTCCCACATGCCTGCTGTCAACATACTAGAAAAATAGGACAAAAGAAATATTTAAAGATAAAAAGGGGTTATGAAGTCCTTTTTGGATTTTATTAGAGAAAATAAGAGGCTGTACAGTGTTAATAGCAGCTAATGTTCGCTCTGTGTTTTCTGTACCTCTAAGTCGCTCTACTCCATGAGTTCCTAGAATTTTCTTACAGTGGAGGCAGTGCACTGGACTTAGCTCCCCAGGTCAGCCAGGGTGCTCTGCTTTCCCTGCTCTGCAATGGAGCAGACTTAATAGCAAACATCTGTGTTGCTTCTGTGACCATGGAAGCAGAGCATCGATGCTGCAGCCACTGTAAACTGAAGGGTCCACAGTAGCAGTTGCTACCTGTCTCCTGTCTTTGTGTTTGCAACACGATGGCCCTTTTCTCCACATGTCCTGGGGCTGTTCAGTTG